GGATGTGCGTCCGGATTCTCCGATTGCGAACGTATTTATCAATGACTTCTGGGGTCACCGTCTCACATCCAACATCAGCCACAAATCATACAGACCGCTCACTGTTCTCACATTCAGGTTAGTTTACTCGGCTTTTTGGAGATCTCTTTTTGAATATTCCGGCGTGTGATTTTAATTTTTCTCTTTTTTATAAAGTACAGTACTTCAATGGAATCCGTTGCAACTGTATAATTGTCTGAAAAACCGTATTTACGCGAATATCAGCTCCCACTTGCATTCCTGGTTTTCTGACTTTTCTGGAACCTAAAAGTTCTGAGTAAATTTAGGTTCTCCCCAGAAAAGGTAAACGGTGACACACAACTCTTGCTCATCCCCTTCAGTAAATATCTCGAGCATCTTGAAGGACTAGAAGCAAACCATGTACAGTATCATCAATTACAAAAGAACTGAAAAAAGAAATGCTGGTTCATTTTTTGGGCCACAAATTAGATTTCCTTGTTTAGACGCGTATCAAATTCTAAATTTAAAAAAGGGCTGCGTATATTCGCGTTAAAACGGTATTCCTTCTTTTTGTGTTGATGCAGACAATATTTTTCTTTGCGAAATTGCTTCAGAAATTTTGAAGTTGCAAAAACACAGGTTATGCTGACACCGCCTGAATATCGTTTATTCTAGAATCTGGAGGAATGAAGAGTTATTTCGCGTGTAATTATTCTTTCGGACGTTTCCGGGGAACATCTGAACTTTTCTTGGGGGTTTTTCGCGATATAATGTCCAATTTTTGCTTTTTGGAACGTCTAACCCGACCGAAATATAACTGCTAAGCTGACGCAAACCAAGTGAACCAAGTAAAAATGCAGGTGACATTTAATTTATGGCGAAGAATCTAACGGAATCTGTGACTTCCATCGTTGAATTGAAAAGAACCTTTTTCTCATGCCTTCGGACTGTGCCGTTTTTCGGGACATGGAAGTTTCGCAACTTTTCTAACTGAAAGTGATGAAAATATGTTGTGTGAATTTTTTTTTCCTACACTACTGTATTCGCGATAAAACCGGAACATTCGCATGATTTAATGTGTGATTGCAATTTTGATTGTTTAGATTAAACGAATGGCTAGTTGGAGGACAAAAGCCTGCTGCTTTCCATGTCACAAACGTGAGCCTGCACGCTTTGGTCTCCTTCCTGATTCATCAAATCGTGATCTTTGATTGCAATTTTGATTGTTTAGATTAAACGAATGGCTAGTTGGAGGACAAAAGCCTGCTGCTTTCCATGTCACAAACGTGAGCCTGCACGCTTTGGTCTCCTTCCTGATTCATCAAATCGTGATCTCGCATCTTTTCCTCGATGACGACGACTCTCGTTGGGGCGTTTTCGCGTCCTTGCTGTTTGCTGTTCATCCGGTTCACTCTGAAGCAGTTTCTGGACTAGTTGGGCGGGCGGATCTACTGTGCTCTGCGTTTTATCTCGTGTGCTTGTTTCTACATGCCAAATGGGCCCACTCCCAGATTGGAACGAGGGAGTGGTGGGCATTTGCTGCTGGGGTCATGTTTTTCTCGACTGTTTCCATGCTTTGCAAAGAGTACGGCATCACTGTACTGGTGAGTTCTTGTCAGACGAAATTTTATTCGAATTCCACCTGTACATCAGGGCCCCGACGTACGGACGACCAAATTGACAGTACGGACGACCAAAATATTCTCCAACGTCTAAACAACGTCTTGAGGTATAAACACNTTGTTGTTGTTCCAGTTGCTGTGTTTTGCCCTTGACTTGGTCGGCCTAACCTTGAATGGAGGACGAAGTCATGTTAAAATGGACGCTGTCAAAGAGCGGCTGACGGTGTTGAGTTTCCTTTGCGTGTTCCTGCTTTATCTGCGATGGACTATCATGGGATCATCTCCCCCGATTTTCCAACCGGAAGATAACCCTGCTGCTTTTGCGGATTCTCTGATCACGCGATTCCTGTCCAGAAATTACTTGTTCGCCCTCAATGCGTGGATCATGATTTTGCCGGTCTGGTTGTGCTTTGACTGGTCTATGGGATGTGTGCCGTTGGTCTCTGATTACAGGGACCCACGTGTTCTGGCTGTGTTTGTGTTTTGGGTCTTCCTCCTGGGCATTGTCGGTCGAGGAATGGTGGGAGCTTTTCCGCGAGTGTTCCAGGTTGAAGGCTCGAAAAAGGACAGAGAAGCTCAGCGCGATGACGCAAGGTGAGCTTTAATTGCTGAAGGATTCTCATTGTCAGCGAGGAGTACCTAAGAAAGAATAGGATGAAATGATTGCTTAAATGTAGTACGAGATTTCAAGTTTCTGGTCAGTTGCACTGTACTTCCGAGGTTTGTACGAAGTCAGTTTGGAGAAGAACTATTTATTTCTCGCTTATGGTAATATTCAGAAGATGTTAATCTAATGGTGCTAGGTTTGAAATCTTGTATATTCAGGTGAAATAGCGATTGCAATTGCCACAAAGATTTCTTGTAGAAATGGAATGCAATTGCGCTACAATTTTTCTGATACAGTAATTAATTAACAGCCGTGTTGAGATGAGAGAGAAACTGGATTTCCTGCTGCCTTTTGAATTGAAAGGATAGAAAGACAAATTTGTAGTACAATATATATTTTGAATGTGCAACTAGATGAGCATTTTACTAAAATTTAAGGAAGAATGTCGATATACCGAGATTTTTTTTTTTAATTCACCATTGAGAAAAATATTAAACCAAAACTTGGATGTGTTGGTATTTTTCAAAGTTGTCTAAATTAATGATCCTGCTCTCGAAAATCGTTTAAACTTAAAATTAGGTTGACATTTCGAAAATGATGCTACAGTATTTGTTTTTCCTGAGAAAATGATAACAGTACAGTATATATTTTCATAAAGTAAAGGAACACTCCGCAGAAAATTAAATGTTATTTCTCGTACTGTTAATCTCCATCCGTCTAACAAGGGAGTCGCAAGACTGCAAACATTTTGGAAAAGCCCGGGTTCATTTTGTACAAATTTAATAGAAGAAGCCTTCCACAGAAATATATAGGATGATTGTAATTTCACTCTCATCCTTATATGCGTATTTTTGATTTCGCAGGTTGATCCTGGTGGGTCTGGTGTGGCTTTTCATTCCATTCCTTCCAGCAGCGAATATATTTTTTACCGTGGGATTTGTGATAGCGGAAAGAGTACTGTACTTGCCGTCTCTGGGATACTGCATAATCCTCACCGTGGGGCTTCGTCGACTGGCCTTGCTCGTTGAAAAGTCTCGAGTTATGCAGTTTTTTGTGAGATCACTCGCTGTTAGTCTCCTGGTAATTTTCGCTGCGAGATGCGCTCGAAGAAACGGCGATTGGTCCAACGAGAAAACCTTGTTCACATCTGGATTGTCCGTGTGTCCGAATAATGCGAAGGTTCATTACAACGTTGCGAAGCACGCGGCGGATTCCGGAAATGCGGAATTAGCGATTGAGCATTACCGCAAAGCACTCGGACTGAATCCAGTGTATGACCAGGCTATGAACAATCTGGCGAATTTATTGAAAGCCCGGGGGCAACTGGAAGATGCCTTGGGACTTCTGGAGAACGCGACCGCTGTTAGACCGGATTTTGCAGCTGCTTGGATGAATCTCGGGATTGTTTTGGCGGATTTGAAGCAGTACGATCGAGCTAGGTTCGCCTATGAACGCGCTTTGGAGCTTCGTCCCAGATACCCGGACTGTTATTATAACTTCGGAAATTTGGTGAGTTTATAATACTGTGAAGTCAAGCCGTTCTAAGTCGAACTTCGACGGACCTCGAAAAAAATCAAGTTAGGGAAACGAGCACTTTTGTTGGGGGTGAAAGGTAGAAGAGTTGCAGGAAGGTTTGATTGGTGATATTCTGGGCTCTAAATTGCTTCTGACATGAGTTGATGGGATGATGAACTTGCATGCAAGGGTTCATTTGCCCAATTAGTCTTGAACTTCCTTCTCAACCTTGATCAAGTCTCTTTCCTGTGTTGAGGAAATGATAGCCAAAAGACCTCCAGAAAATTCTATCTATGGAAATTTGATGGGAGGGGTTT